CTCCTCTGCTCCTCTGCTCCTCCACTCCTCTGCTCCTCTGCTCCTCCACTCCTCCACTCCTCCACTCCTCTGCTCCTCTGACAGGAGATCCCACCGGACGAGGAGCTGAGAGATAAAAAGGAAACAAGACCCAGTTCAAAGATCATGAAAGATTTTCATCCATCATCTGTGAGGCTGGAGCCAATCACAAGTGGGCTGTCAATCACAGACCTCCCCTCCCTCTCCTGTTGAGTCACACACACACACACACACACACACACACACACACACACACACACACACAGATGTTCCAGTTCTCATTACAGATGTTTCCGACACCAACAGGATCCATCGAGCCTCCACAGCGATCGTCAGGCGGCCGTCACCAACACGTCCCTCAGATGAAGCGACTCCTGTGGACAGATCAGGTGCAGCTGGACGAGCTGGGAAGTGTTAACATTCACTCACATCTGGATTCACGGAACATCTGCAGATGTTTACGAGTCAGGAAACAGACCAAGAGCTAAATGTTCACATTATCTAAAGCGTCCTCTTCAACGCAGGAGGAGTTTGATGGTGAAGAGATGAAAAGTGTCTCATCTGTCTCACGTCAGGATGAACGTGTCTGTCCTCCTCTCTTCTTCTTCTGTCCACCTTTCTAACGAAGCTCATGTAGTTCACATTAAAGGGAGCGGATGTTTCACGCTGGATTCACACAGCAGGTGTGTGTCCAGGTCTCTGAACTTCTTACCGACTCATGTTTGTGTTGGAATGGCGGCCCAGTGAGAGGATTAGCCGCTTAATCCCAGAGCGGTGCTAATCCCCAGCCTGGTTCCTCGCACCTCCTGGACGCTGAGCCGCTCAGACACTTCACAGGCTGCGTGTGCACGTCACCGTCGTACGGTTTGTGTGCTCATGACTGCGTCCGCTCAGATGTTTAATCATCTGCTTCACGTGAAGAGAAACTGAAACACACGTGCAGACACACGTCACATTGAGGCAACAGGAAGAAAACTGAAACCACGACATGAGATCAAAAATCATTTCTGTTCTGAAAGAGTCTCTTGATATGAAGAACGAGAATTATTTTTGTTTCCTTGTTGAAACTTTGACTCTTTACCAACATTTCATGTCCAGCTGATCCCTGACGAACCTCTGTGTGTCCCCCGCTCTGTCCCTCAGTGTCTGGAGTTTGGCGACGGCTCGGTGACGGGGGACATGTGCGAGGACCTGTGTGTGCTCAGCTTGGTCGAGTACAAGCGCTGCCTCTACTACGAGAACGGGAAGAAGGTGATCGAGGCTCGGTGGAGAGGAAAACCCATCATCCTGAAGTCCAAGCTGGAGAACTTCTCCTCCTATGAGCCTCTGGGAATCCTGGACTACCAGGTGACGCCTGCGCTTCGATTCCAGTCACTAAACTCAGATCAGAAGAAATAACGATCTCAATCTGTCCCTCTGTTCGACAGGACACAGCAGAGGAGCTCTCCCCTCTCGATGTGGTTTTCTACGCCACTCTGGAAGTAAGTCACATCAAATCCTCGGCATTTGGCTCAAAAACAAATGTGCTTATCTTACAGGCCGACGTAAATATTTCCTCTGATGCCAGGTACGGAACTCGCTGGGGCTGGCTGAAGAAGACGAGGATGAGGAAGGAGGAGGAGGGGGTAACAGCTCTCTGGCCAAACTCTGGGGGAAGAAGCTGAAGAACCAGGACAAGAGTTTCTCCAGAGCGGAGCTGGCGTCCCTGTGGTCCCTGCTGCAGCAGGAGGAGTACACCTTCCTCAGGTGAGACAGCTGACATCACTTCCTCCACAGAAAACTCCAGAACACTGACCAACTGTCAAATGAAAAGTGAGACCAGGCTCCTAGTTTTGGACAAATGTTGTTTTTATGATTCCATGAATCATTTGTTCATCTGAGGACGAGAATAAAAAGAAAGCTGGTGAGACGAAGGTGACCTGCTGCTTATCTGTGTGTGTGTGTGTCTGTCTGTGTGTGTGTGTCTGTGTGTGTGTGTGTGTTACTTAGGTTTGATATGAACACAAACTGCAGTGTACAGTAAAAGGTGATGTCGTCCTTCAGACGTCTCTTCTAGAAAATGAAAACATTGTCTTTAGATATTGTTTCTCTGAATGTCCCTCAGAGTCCTGCAGGACCTCAGCGTCCACGTGGCGAAGGTTCTGGGGTCCTGCGGTCATTTCTACGCCGTGGAGTTCCTGTCTGCCGGACACGCCTGGGACCAGAACATCTTTTCCCTGGAGGACGTCTCTGGGCTGCAGGGTCAGGACCAAGGCGGAGCCCGCGGGAGGTGGACGGCCCGGGAGATGGTGCATCGCATCGCGCTGAGTTTTCTGGACATGGTTTGGCACTTTGACAACGACTTCACCCACAAACTGCACCTGTGTGACATCAAACCGGAGAACTTTGCCATCAGGACGGACCTGACGGTGAGTCCACGTCTCGGTCAGAGGCCGCGAATAGAGATGGACGCCAGGACAGCTCCCTAAAGTGAAGCCAAATCACGTCCTCTGGAAGGAGGACTGTTTTAATTCTAGATTTCGTTTGACATTTGTAAGGTTGTGGCGATTGACGTGGACATGGCGTTCTTTGAGCCCAAAATGAGGGACATCCTGGACCAGAACTGCAGCAGTGACGACGACTGCAACTTCTTCGACTGTTCGTCCAGATGCATCCTGAGCAAACGCAAGTGCAGCCCCCGACGCCGCAACAGCAACCTGCAGGTGAGAGCACACGAAGGTCTGATGCTCCGTAACGACCCAACATGGTTGAACAGTCAAACGGATCTGGAAAAGATCTGCTCTTCATTTAAGAAGCTGCGTGAACGTGGGTGAGAACTGCGTTTGAGTTTTTATCTCCTGCAGTAACTGTTTGTCTCTCTCCTCCTCCTCCTCCTCCTCCTCCTCCTCCTCCTCCTCCTCCTTCATTGAACACGTGAACCGAGGCCTGTACGTGTTCTCGCTCCTGACGAGACGGTTGAGAAATGAGAAGGTCGCTGGTTCGTCCCAGACTCAGTGATCCATCTCTCACAACATTTAATTATCAGTCGAGTGACGAGTGGAATGATAATGACTGAT